GAGAAGAGAAGGTGGCTGTGTTGGCTTATGCACACCCACTTGGCGTATTTGCGTTATACTTAGTAAATGCGTTCTTAAAATAAGAAAATTGTTAATGTAGAGTGCATTCTGGGTCACACATTTTTCTACACATAGATTATTCCTTTTTTCTACTCAACTGTTGCTGCTTCTGATTTTAATAAATGCCACTTTTGTTCAGTCTTTCAACTGGGCTTAAGAAGAGACAATAGTAGTGATTCCTGAGCATGTGCCCTGGTAGTTCTGCTTGAACTACAGTCCACTAATGAAGACAAAAAATAATTAGAAACAAGAGTATAACTGCTGCATCTGGAAGAGAATAATTTATACATGATCTTTCAGAATTAAGTGCTTTGTATATGGGAAGGATATTCTTATATGTGGAAGATATTTAGAGTCTGAAGGATGTGTGCATATGAAGGGAAGAGAATTGGTAGGATGAATGTCAGATTTAAATAATCAGCTCAAAAATCTTGTTATACAAGAAAGTATAATAAAGGTTCATCTAAGAGGTCAGAAAGTATTCTCATAATGTGAAATTAACTTGGATCTTTCAAAGCATATTGAAGGAGATAGCAAATATTCTCCCATAAGATTGAAAGAAGAAGGAAAGAAGTGGGGTTACTGTGCTCAGGGAGTGAGCCAAAATTAGGCAGTGTCTAAAAATAATTCTAAACTCCAATTAATGTTTTACTTCAGTTTCCACTAAGGACAGCAATGATGAATACTGAGTGGAAGGTGTGATGGCTATGGGAGAACGGGTTTGGAAATAGGAAATTATTTTCTGTGCAAAGAACAGACCCAAAAGAGGGGAATAAGTTCAGTCTAAGAACCTGGAACCAGGACAAATTCGTCCCATTTATCACAGAATTCAGTAGCGAATATTTTTACTGGAACTAATGCCAGAGGTGGCTCAGCATAACTGGAGAGGACAGCAAGTGCAATCCTACACTTAAGAAGGAAAGAAGGAAGCAGTAAGATGATCCAGGCAGCTTTTGATTCACTGTGCTGACTTCAGCAATATGTAGTGCCTTCAAAGCACTTTTGAAGAAAATAATTTACCTTAATTTTTCTAATGATCAAAAACAAATGGAATGCTCATCCAGTGGTAGGTTCTCATGTATGAAAGCTGCCTTCTAAAAACTTACTTTCCTTAAAAAAGAAAGAGGAAAAAAAGGTTATGGCATGTTATTTCCTCTCCTACGTATTTACTATAACAACATTGACTTTTTTTTTTAAAGCTAAAGTTAAAAATGAAAAGAAAAAGCACAAAAGCAAAATGCTGATAGGAAGTACATTTTAAGATGCGACTTATCCTCTCCTGTCACTTTCTGCCTTTTCTTAGGTATCGTCTGTCACCCACTCATGTAATGGGACAGGGAGGTTGTTCTTGAGGAAATAGTAACGTTGAATAAAGTCCACTGAAGATTCTTGCCTATCTGATATTCAAGCAAAGATGACAATGAATGCCTCATCTTTGTCAGCTTTGTGTTGAACCATAAAAATTGGAAATACTTGTAAAATTTATTAAAATAATGAAATATTTTGTGCCTCTGAGCCTTTATTATTGTCTCATGGTTATTCTTACACTGACAGTAAAAAAGTAATTTAAGAGGTGTAGCTTATGTTAACACTTGAAAGCAGTGCTTTAAAACTGGCTGTATACAAATACCAAGCTTTGATGGATTTAAAAGTCTGCATAATCCGTCCTGTGTGCTATAAACACAGAACTGCTTGCCTTTTTCTCTGTAAGAATTAGCTGGCGTGATGCAGTGGCTTAATGTGCTTGCATGTATACAGAAAGAATAAAGAAGCAAAGAATACTTTATATTTGTAATTCATTGTCTTTCAGCAAGTGCGTACTTCAGAATATTGTAATGAAATGCTCAATTGTTACTTATGGTGATGTGTATTACTATGAATACATATTCATGAAAAAGGCAGTAGTGAAAGTTTTAACCCCCAATTATATCCTTCTGCCTCACAAAATTAAGTGGAAATTTGGTATAAGTTGCTGGTATGAAATCTCTTACTCATCTTACAGGCCTGATGTCCATATTAATCTGCAACTAAGAATTGTTCTTTTCTTTAAACTTCTGTTTTATTTATCTTAATAAACTGTAGGTTCAATTTAACATAGTTTTTGTGTGCACGCACGTGTATATATAAATATATATAGATAGTATTGTATAGTCTTTTAGTTCTTCTATAATTTAAAGTATTTTAAAGTAATTTTTGGGATGAGTATTTGGTGAATCTGTGTGTTTCTTTATGGGGGATATATTGCTGGCTAAATACGTCTGCCTTGGAAGTAGTTGCAATGTGCATCAGATTTTATGAGAATGAATATTAAAATGTGGCTCTTCCAGAAAAGCTTTTTTAATTTCTCAAATAAGATTATCTGGTGAGGCTATTCTTGCAATTAGCTTACATGCCTTCTCCTTGCTGCCACTCAAATTAATTGCTTTTGCTGTGATGTCTTTTAAGTACATTTCTCATGGCGATATCGGAGATTCTGGTGTTGAAAATAATGTGAGTCATTTGATTTAAATACAGCTACTTAAGATTTATTCTCATCAAAAATGCGGAGAGTCCTCATCATTCTGTCAGTCCTTTTCAGATTTCTGAAGAAATATTTGTACCGTGGTAAAGCTCTATGCTGCAAATTGTTTTATGATAACACTAGTATGGTTTCTAGAGATTTTCTTACAGGTCACACACTTCTACACTGTTTGTAAAGCTGTAGTAGGTACTGTTAATATACTGCTAGTGTGCTGCCACTTAAGATGCATTATTTTATGTTTTTATAAATTGTGATTAAAGATACAGGTAAAATGTAGGGGCTTTTGTTTATTTTGATTAAGTTAAACTTAATGTTCTCCAGCATTTCAGATAAAACTAATGTTTCCTGGCGTCTAAGGAAACTTCTGTTTAGCGCCTTAGACTCCGAATGCTCAAGGATGTTCACTGCCAAGCTCCAGCTGAAAATCGGTGAAAACCAGGGCTGTTGAGAAATGCAAGCTAAGGCTATTCTCTGCACTGTTTTTGTAGCGTGTCAGTAGACTGCACAAGTTATCTACATTTTCTGAGAAGTAACTCCTTAAAAAGATGTAAAGTCTACTTTTGGAAGCAGTTTTTTTAAACTAATGATCTCAATAGTAGGAGTCTGTTTTTCGGATGCTAAAAATAATTTAAAATCCAATATTGGAAAAGTAGATGAATAACATTCAAATTGTGCATATGCATAACGGTATTGCCATGGTCACAATATTATGGTCTGTACAACCTTGTTTCAGATCGCTTGTGCCTGTACACCATGAACAGGATTTATGGCCCATGCCTGTTTTACTAAAGTAGTGTTTTTTACATCTGTGTTTACCCATTTCTTGATGAGCAGTTGGTGACCATTGATTCCAACTTAGACTTGAGTTCTCAGAACTACAATTAAAGTTGGGAATGCTATGTAATACCGTACACCTTGAAAAAAATTGTCTTGAGTATCTCACATTTGTCTTCTAAAATAGATGGATATGTTTACACTAATCTATTTCGACTCTATTTGCCATTCTTGACAGGTATGTTGTGTAAACTTATTTTATGAAAGCTCTTTTTGTGAACAGTGGGTTCTGTAAAGAACGCAAGCGTGATTCCTTAGGGTGTGATGAGTCAGGTAAAGAACTTCTTCAAAAGAGTTGTTCCTTGTGTGAGCTATATCACTGTTGTGTACTGAATGAAGCAGGACTCGGCTGGAGGGAAAAAAACCAAACCACATGTCATTTGGTAATTTAAAACTCTGTTATCTGTCTGATAATAACAGTATGCCCATACTTTATCTGGGTTATTCATTTACCTATTTGGAATTTTATCTGCCATTTTATTTTTCAGCTATTTAGTATTTTGGTGCTGTGGTGTAGTTTTCAGCAGTCAGCTTTGATTTCTGTTGCAAGCCAAGCAAATCAGCTTCCTCACTGTTGCTGTATGACTGAGTCAAGCAGGATGAGTTCTTGTGGTGACCTCCTTTCACTGAAAAAGCTGAATATTTCTTTTTTTTGTCTTCCAATATAGCTCCTCATTCATAAGAGGACCTCCCTCTTTGCACCCATGGTTGTTTAGTGTTTTAAAGACCTTTTTGTAAGGGAGCTTGTTAAATATTTTGGAAATATAAATCAGTCAGCTGTATAATTGTTCCTTCCTCCAGATTCCTTTTGGGAATTCACTTAATAAAAATAGCTATTGCCATCTACGAAAGTAAGACTCATTCTTTCACATAGTATCCTGTTGGTGTAACTCCTATTTGTAATCTTTGTTGCTTCTATAGGGTTGCCTACTAGAGGTGTCAAATTTACTTGTGTACAGTTTTCAGGAGCCCTCTTTAATAAAATTTGCCACTTACTACTCCAGTATGGAGTGTATTTTTAACCAAATATATAAATAAAACACTTAGATTCACTGTTTTTAAAACTCTGAAAAGACCACCTTTTGGTCCTGGTGACTATTTCTTTTACTGTTTGTGTTCAGAAAACTTTCAATTTTGAGTTAATTCCTCTAGCCTATTCTCATTTAAGTCCCGTATGGGAGCCTCAGAAAGTTCCTGTGTAAGAAATACTAATTGGAAGAATTCACTGGCTTTTCTGTGGGTTTTTGGAACTTCAGTGCTATAAAGCCAGTAATGGAAGCATACAAGTTGTGCAAATATGGGCAGACTGTTTTGAGGACAAAAAACCACTGTGTCTCTTAATTCAGACTATCCTAAAGTCTAGGTATGGGAATCTTAGGTTATTACAAAGGAAGAAATCATCAGCTTTTAAAATGTTTTTTAAATACTGAAACTCAGATTGTTTTTCCCACTCTTGCTGTGTTCAGTCACAAAGCTCATTTGGTTGAAATTTTGCTCAGAAAAGGTCAGTTGGAAACCAAGACCTGTAGTACAAATAAGTGACTTGTGGGTTTTTTTTAACATCCCACTTTTTCTTCTTTTCAAGCCTATGGAAAAGTGTTCCTGGTGAGGAAAGTAAGTGGCCACGATGCTGGCAAGCTGTATGCCATGAAAGTACTGAAGAAAGCAACGATAGTTCAAAAAGCCAAAACCACAGAGCACACGAGAACAGAGCGACAAGTGTTGGAGCACATCAGGCAGTCACCGTTTTTAGTCACCTTACATTATGCCTTCCAGACAGATACAAAGCTTCATCTCATTTTAGGTGAGTAGTTTTCAGGATTCAAGTCTTAATAGAATGAAAAAATGAATCTCCCCTTTTATCTCCTTAATGTTTTGTAGGCTTTTTTTCATGTGGTCTTAAGCACTGTGTTTGGAGATTGCATGGGAGACCATAGGAAGTAAAATACTGTTAATCTTCAACAGTGCCTGTGCTTGTGGTTTTCCTGTTTGAACTTCAGTGTGCTACTCTGACTTACGGTGGGGGAGAAAGTGCTATCAGTTACTTACATGCAGCAAAAAATGCATATGGCCATAAGTACCTAAACCAGAGAAATATTTTCTTGAACTTACCTAAAGGATGAAATTTTGATATGCACTCTTTTAATTACATGCTGCATTAGTTTTCTACAAAATTTCAGACAAACTGCTCCCATGAATGAAAAAATTCTTCATCTGTATGAATATGGGCATTGAAGTGCTTCAGTTTATTTTCCAAGCGTGCTGCCTTTGCGTATGTGGCACAGAGGTTATTGATAAGGTGGGGATCAAATGTGACTTTATTGGGATTAGTTGGTAGGAAAGAAGAACAAAGTAAGGAAATATTTAAGCAGGAGAAAGCCACCTATTTCAAACAAACTGCACATTTCGCTCTGAGAACACGTTGTATGTTGTCCTCAAATGTGATCTGTGTTTTTGAAATGTTCTGTCTGAGAGTACAGGTCTACCTGTCAACCAGTTAGTGCACTGCTTTAGCACTGAAATGCTGCAGACTGAAAGATCATATCAGCCAGGTCATTTTTCAGAATAAACGTGCTCACACCATGAGCGATGCCAGTTCAAGATGATTGCGCTTTCATAAATTTCTGGTCTAATTCCTTATAACGCTGAAATCTGCAAGTTATGGTATGGTTTCTTGCTGTAAAATGCTTGTGAGAATCCTTGCATTGTGGATCAGTTTTGTGGTGTATGCATTGTGATACTTCATTTTGGTAAGCTCTACTAGAAGCTTTCCTAAATCTCCACTTATGAGAGATGCTTGATAATGACTTACTGTACAGCAAACCTTATGAGGACATTCTTCATTCTGCTATGGGCTTTTTTAGGTCCTCTTTTTCCCTTCTTTTTAAGCAGAAAATGGGTATAATTAGAGGGGGTTTAAATTTTTTTAAATCACTTTTTCTAACAGTGAAGTTCTCTTCTACGTAACATGGCTTAAAGCTACCTTATGATTCAACTGGGCTTCACACCCTCTCTGACAAAAAAAATGTTTGTTGCAAGTTTTTTATGTCTCATTATGTAAATCTTTGTAAATAACTTCTTTAATTTAGTTCTGGAATTTATGAGCTTCAGAGGCTTCTGCATTTTTTGGGCAACCAGTCTCTGCCTTTGTTTTTGTACGCAGCTGAACTCGGGATATGAGGAACATGTAATTTCAGTTCCAAGAGGTTTTAGATTTGGAGCTTCTGTGCAATATTTAATAAAATTCTTCATGCCGTCAGGTTACATGTCAGTATGAGTTTAGTCTGGATCTTGTGCACACATGCAGCTGCATTTCTGCCAAATTACAGGGTTTGGAATTGATTCCAGTTTTTAATTTGGCTTTAAGCTATGATTGGAAGAACCAAGTATTGTGTCCATGTGAGTACCAGTTCTATACAAAGCTTGTGTCATGAGGTTAACCTACTAATACTTAAAAATATAAAGAAATCTGAACTGTCAGATTAAATTTATATTGAACTAAATGATTTTTTCCCAATTTTATCACTGTTGCATTTGATCTAGCACCAAGCCTTGAGGGCTAATTGCTTCATTGGGCTGTGGCCTTAGTGTTACAACCTGGATAGAATTAGGATTGCTCTGCCACTCCTGTGGCAGCTTTGGTTTGTATCTGTCACATCCTTAGAATGGTCCCTGGGAATTCACTTCTTTTCTGGTCTTATTTCTGATTAGAACTATTGAAAAAAATTGTTTCTGTTGTCTTTGTTTTCTCCATGATTAGAATGCTGAAGTTTTTTTTGAAGGAAGGAAGCAATTGTACAATGTGGGCTATTTATACTGTTATCTTTTTTTTCATGTGCTTTGCTGATCTAGATAAATAATCTTCCTCATGTTGTTTGATGCCGCTAATATTCCTTACCAAACAGAGTTGGAGAACTAAATAAGGAGAGAGATCTGAATGGCTATAATGTGTATATCTGCCTTCTCCTTCAAAAGTATTAATTTACATGAAAATGGTCCAGTCCTATAAGTATTTGTGTTATACCAGTGAATATATAGAAACAATATTCAAGAAAATGTTGAATAAAATGTTGTGGGGCATGTTCCCTACTCTGTATGTGGAGACCTCAAATACAATACAGGGGCTGTGGAGTTGCAGAGTAATGGCATTAATGTACACTGCCAACATAAACAGGTCTACCTCTAAAATGTGTTTGTGGTGCAGTGGAGTTCTGTTGCAATAATTACTTTTTTTCCCCTCTCCCTGACTGTGGCAAAACATGTGGATATTTGAGTTTTATTTTATGGTTTTACTGCGTATTTAAAAATTGTTTGTGTTTTTTCCATCAGTCCTTTAAGAAGGAAGTTGAGTATTGTACAACATAATGAAATATCACTGAACTACAATAAAGTAAAAATATCTGATCCCAAACATCTTATTTAACTTACAAACTAGCTATTACTATTCCAATAAGAAAATTAAGTTGTTAGAAAGTGAAATGATAAAGTTCTTTGTTCTACTTTTTAGACTATATAAATGGAGGAGAACTGTTTACTCATCTTTCACACAGAGAGAGATTCTCAGAAAATGAGGTGCAGATTTACATTGGGGAAATCGTTTTGGCACTTGAGCACCTCCACAAGGTAAAGTAACTATCCCAGTGCTGACTCTGTGGAACTATAACTGTATTCTTTGCACATGGTATAAAGTTAGTAAGGAGAACATTTTTTTTAGATTGTCTTAAACTCAGAGTAACTTTATCTAGCAGTGGGATGTTAGTTGTATAATTAGAAATACTTCCCAATGAAATGTCTATTTATGTGCACCAGATCAAGGCAAGGAGGTTTTGTCTGCAGTGTGAAGTGTGTTGTAATAGGCAAATGATTATTAATTTTTGGTCATCCTTATGTATGGTATATGTAAGTAAAACAAATTTTTAGTCAACTTGAACAGTGTTTGTGTTGCAGTGTTGTTCAGTTGTCCTTCTTTGGATACGATTAAACAGCAGAATTCTGAAATTTGGGAACAACTGTAGACATGAAAAGTGTTACGGTTTTCAGAGGCAGTAAGTAGATTTGTAGAGCATTACAAAGCATGCGTGTATGGTCTAGAAAATATTACAGAAGCATCCATTTTCATTCTTAATGTAACTGAGTTTTACACTCAACAGCAAGTTTTCAGTCACTTTTAGATTCAAATGATAGTGTGTTGTTTAAATTTTAAGACAATACACACTGTAATTTCTGAGAATTTTTAAGCTGCTCAAAGGTATTTCTCAAAGATTTTTAAAATTGTCTTTTTTGAGGTGCTACTTTTAGGTGTCAGGTTACCTTAATAATGGGATTTTTGCTAGCTTTGTATTTAAATGCATTCAACAATGTTTCCTTGATATGGTTACAGTGATTTGGAAATACCATTTCTTACATTCTGTTTGCAGTTGGGAATCATATATCGGGATATAAAACTTGAGAATATTCTCCTGGATTCTGATGGCCACGTGGTGCTGACAGACTTCGGTCTGAGTAAGGAGTTCCTTACTGATGAGGTGAGTATTTCAATCTCCAGTAACTGATCCAGCAAGATCATAAAGTCAGATTCTGTCTCATTGAAGTCATAAACTTCATAAATTTTGGGAGGGGAGAAAAAACTGCCTTTAGACTCTTAATAGAGCAGAATCAAGTAGTCTGCTTTACTGGGTTTTGATCTTTCAGCTCACTGGTCTTTGGCTTGCCAGTGCTGTCACACGTCTTCATCTGTTCTAGTTTTCTCTGAAACACCTCCTACTGCCCTTCATGAGCAAAAGGAGAGATCCACATAAGTCTGCAAAGCCACTTACATATCATTTTCAGATGCCTTTTAAAAAAATGCTTGACTGTGCTAATACTTTGCAGTGACTAGGCAAATGGTATGCTATGACTCTTCTTTATGCTAATAATAATAATTAATGTATTATTATCTTGTCTCTTTCTCATGTCTTTGTGTCACTTTTGATAAGCTTAATTGCCAGCTTTTAGGATAAAAGCTTATCTCTTATTAAATGGGTGCATAGTACCTAACATAGTGATCTCTGACTGTTGACGTTAGTTGTTAATTATTTGTAAGGTACAGTTTTCTCTCCAAATATGCTTTTTAGGTTTCAGAGGGTCAAAATTGTGCAGGATTTTTACTTCTGAGAGAATTCTCAAATGGCTGGATTTTCTCTTTCACTTTAGGTATCAGAGTATTGAAATCTGGGACTGCAGATCTAAAAGGCTTTGTTAGAAGTAGCGGAGGGGTTTTCTAAAAATAGGTAACTGGTAGTTTCCTCTAGAATATTTGCATTTCAAATGGAGCCTGGTGGGATTTGGGAGATAACATTTTAAGATACATGAAATGTTACTTTCTGTAGCAGGGAAGTTGTACAGCTCATGTCAGTATATTCCTTTTAAATTATATTGTGAAATCAAGAGGAGGTTCAACTGGCATGGCAAGGGATTAGCGACAGATTGCCAGACCAGTGCAAGAGAGGAAGTACAGAGATGCCGTTTTCAGTAGGAAAGGATAGTAAAAGGTGTGGTTAGGGAGAGAGGACTTGCTCAGAGTTGCGAGAGAAGCTGTGCTGGGCACAGGAGAAGTAAAGTGTGTGCAATGGTATTACTGCACCAGGGAGAGAAAAGGAGCAGGCCTTCAGCCTTTGAGCCAAAGTGTAATGAAGCTGAAATATTCCCTGTGACAAGAATGTCATAATGAGTCAGGACCTTCTTCAGGTCTCAAACCAGATGATTTTAGGAAGTACAGTTATTTCTCATCTGTGCTCAGTTTTGGGATGTCTTTTACAAGCAGTGCAAGGAAAGGGGAGGACTTGGATAAGCAGCAGAGATGCCTGTTTGCTTTTCCCACACTGAATCAGCTTCCTCTTTCTCCAGGCATTAAATAGAGCAGTCTTGCTGCTTGCTCATTTAATGTTGGTTCCTCTGACTCTAATCCATTTTGTCTTCACTATATACCTCGGAAATCTCTTCACTTACCCATATTTTTCTCTCATATTCCCCTTCACATTTTATATTTGTCTTCTGTCAAAGAAGCTCAGCATTTCTAGTGTTTCAATGCCAAAGTAATTGCAATTGTATTGTTTGCTTTCAAAATCTAGGAAATTGTCTGCACTTGACTACAGTTTTCATGTGTGCCACTGTAATTTAGCTACTGAACCTAAACATGATTCAAATTACCTATTTACACATAGAAGCTGACATTTCATATTGCATTCTCTGTAGACAATTCAGCTACTACTAGAACACTTAAAATCCACATTACAAAAGATGCTTAACTTGCTGAACCAATGTACTTAGAGAGGTAAAATTTGCCTATATAGTGCAATAGCTTTATATCTGTTTTTCATGCTCATTGGGTAATGCTTTTAAATAAAATTACACAGCTGCGTAAGTTGGATAAAAGAGTGTAGCATTTGCAGTTTAATCAGAGCAGTATGCTTGCCTTTCTTCCTCTTTCTTCACACTTCTGCCCTGGCCCCCCTGCTTCTTGCAAGAACTTTGCCATTAAAAGTATGTTTATACAAGTGGAATTTATTATAGTAATCCCCCCTCTTCAGATTGTATTTTCTGAAACAAAATTTAGTTTATTAAGAATGTATTAAAATTATCAGCAATTACAAGCACTGCCTATGTTTAGAATTCTTATCAGAGAGAATTCTTTACCCTGTATTTATGAGTTTTGAATGATTTTGTAGTCAGGGATACTTACTAGGAAACATCATGGTTCAATGGTTTCATTATCCCTGCTTTAATCTGATGGTTGTTAAATATTTCCAGGTACCTGAGCAAGTACAGAATCTAACAGAAGTTGTTTTATAATAAAAAGAGTGTACTGTTTCTTGAGTATAATAACTATAGCAGATTAATTGACTATTCAAGAATGAAGATATGGGAAGCTGCTTTTCCTGAGCACTATTGGAGTGAAAGGAGGCAAATGCACGTGACTTGTAGGAAAACAGAAACCTATTGATTTCTGCCGTGCAGCTACTGAACTGTGAGCGTGACGAGTGCATTGTCAAGTATCATCTTTGATTTTCAATTATTATGTGGAAGTGCTTATAGCATGCAAGAATTACAATTCCAAGCTGAAAACAGTGCAGTTTTAAGAGCTCTAAAGCATTTTATACCACTGTTTCGCTAAAATCTGAAAGTTTTCTTGTACAAGTGAAATGGCAATCTGGTTTTGCCTTTTTTTTATCTCTAAAATGAAGTCTGTATGCTTGTATTTGCATCAAAAAGAAGAAATAACCTGACTGGGATAAAGTAGTTGAACAAAAATGGATTTTCACATAGGGTAGGTCAATATCACAGGGTATTTAGGTATAAAAGGACTTCTGATATTGACATTTTCTTTAGTATCTCTTGAAGACCTACAGTTTGACTAGCCTAACTGTGGAGTGGGATTATGTAAGAGATTAAAAGATTAAAATTAATATTAATATTTAATATCAATTAAATACTTTAATTTTGATATTAAATTCTTTTAATATTAAATTCTGTGGCATTTGCATTCTTAGCCCGCGATTAATTTAGGGCTGGTCTTTCAGATTTGTAACTCTGAACTGAAATGCAAAGAAAATTGGGATAAAAAAAGATGCGTCAAAGTATAAGACTAAAATGTATCTCAATTGAGTTCCCGTCTAACTGGGATGTAGAATATATTTGCACATGACATCAATATCAATTATTACTGGGGGCATGGGGAATTGATAGGACTGACAGAAATTTCTACAACAGTGTGTTTGTTGCATCACTTCGATGTTGCTGCTTTTTTCAAGAGTCTTGTATTTCATTTACCTTTATTAAAAAAAAAAAAACAAACAACCAAAACAACACCCTAAGTTGGTTTTGGGATTTTTTGCCACCTTGTTTCTTGTGTAATATCTGCCTTCTGGATTTGTGACTTAAGCATATTTTCATCTTTTAATCAATTTAATTGTTCTGCTTGTATGCTGGAATTGTTTGGACTTGGTTAATGTCAGTTTAGCCTTGTCATCAGGTCTGGACTTCATCTTAGTGTTTATTGTTAATATGCTACTTCATTTTTAAAAACCTTTTTTTCCCTTTACATTACCTTTAGTTCTGTAGCTACACTAAAAAATGTACTATTTTTTCTAATACAAAAAGATCTCCATGTATACTAATCTTCATACATTTCATTGAATTATTATAGTAGTAATCTATTCTGTTGAACCATGCATAAAAATTAATACTTTTCGTGTTAATTAAATCTCATAAAGTCCACTTTCTTCCAGAGTATATTGAAATACTCAGTTCTTCTGCCTGAGTATTGAAGTTTTTGTTTGCTTAATGAAGTTGTGAAAAAATTATGTAGCAAATACTGAACATTGTCAGTCTTCAAAAAATAGATCTGAGAGCATACAAATGCTTCAGTAATACATAAGGGTAGATATTCTGTATGAGAGATGATTGAATTGTAGTCTAAGTCAGTTGAGTGGTTATCTGTGTACTTCTGCCTGATGTGTAGAATATATAGTTCCGATACTCTACTGTTCTCTCATCTGAAAATCTCTTGATCAGAGTTGCAAATTTAGTTATAAATGTCAGCTGCTTTTGACTGTTGAATTGTTTGGTTTAGTTTATGAGCTGGTTGAGTGAACATTTTGTTCTGGAAAGAAAATTAGGGTGTAATTTTAAAATATTTTAAGGGAAATATCATTAAAGGAAAAACGTTAGAAAGGTGGTTTGTCCACTCTAGGTTTTGATAGATGAAGTAGGAAGAGATTCATACATATTCTCAGAGTGTTTAAAGGGTGTCCAGAGCAGAGGGAAGTGGCAGGAACTCAGCTTGACTCTTATTTGGTGCTATATGAGCTGTCATTTCACTGCTAGATTTGCTGTGCAGGTAACTTTAAAAAACCCATTATAAGTGTCCAATTTCATTGATAATGTCAGATCATTGAAATTTGATAGTGCATCCTCTGAACACTGAGCACTCTCCTGCAAAGATGAGTGAGAATAATCCATACTGTGGGCGGCTGTTACTGTATCTGCATGTGTTTTAGTTAACCAGTTGTTCAGTGGTGTAGACACAGTTAGTTACAGGGAGTAGATTTACATTTCTGCAAAGAGGAAAAAGTACGAAAGTGTAAACTAAATAGTGACATTAGTCTGCAGAGGTTAACATTGATTATAGATCTGTCTGAACAATTAGTTATTATTTCCTTTATTTTGGAAAAACAAGTGAAGCAGTGGGAATTTTTTTTTGCTTTAATTGGTGTACTTCTGTTGGTGTTTGAAGTGTCCTGACATTGAATATTGAGAACATACCAAACACTACAAAGGCACATACCTGAAGGGTAGGACACATTTAATTGCACAAGCGGATTATCAGTGATCAGCTGCCTGTTTGTTCCTTAGCCCAAGAGGTATCCCTCTTTCTGTGCTTACCACAAAGGTGCTTGTGCTTTCCCAGTATGGAGCAGTAATGCAGAATACTGGAGCACAAAATACAGTATCCAGATTTTGATGCCAAAAATCTCAAAGTGCCACT